TGACGATTTATATGATAAATAAGTCAGTGAGATCAAACTAATTGAAAATTTCCCTCAAATTGAATATTAAGTTTATGTTTTCCAAGTTTTAGAACTCATCAAGACTAATATCGAATAATGTAGGTTTTGCCTAACGTGAGTTGCATGTTCTATATTAAGGTGCAATGGGATGAGTGTAATATCCAATTTCTAAAACGATGAGTCAAACTTAACTAAACAAATTGTGATAAGATTATATACATTTAGAAGCAAGAGTTGTGAATGATCCATATGATTGATTAGAATGAGGAACTATTCACCCAACTGAAAATATTCGAGAATTGTATTGGATACAATTGGAAGGAGATCCTACCTAAGTAACTGAGTTTTGTGTAATCAGCCTAACGCTGACTTAAAACAAAGTGAAATATGGATCTAGATCCACTAGAAAATCTTCCAACGGGACTTTCCGAATCAAATGGTGAGGGTCATTTGGTTTGAGTAAAATAGTGGGAGCATATTTAATTAAAGTCCTAATTGAATATGTTGCTTTTAATTGATACTTATAATTTCACATTTTTTATGTAGATTACCATGACAACAAACACCTATAACAACATTTTACGATCAATCCTTGATAAGGAAAAATTGTTTGGGACACATTTTTTAGATTGACATTGAAACTTGAGGATTATCCTCAAACATGATAAAAAAAACTGTATGTCTTATAGACACATGTTTCTGAAGAGGAGCCTCCTAGTTCTACTCCTAAGGCTAAAAGAGATGCTTATAAGAAACATGTCCATGATGCCAATGAAATTGCTTGCCTCATTCTGGCTACCATGAATTTTGAATTGCAAAAGCAACATGAAAACATAGCAGCATTTGATATGATCGAACACCTGCAGATGCTCTATCAAGAGCAGGAAAGACATGAGAGATTTTAAGTTTTAAAATCCATTTTTCAAGGCAAGCTAGCTGAGGGAGCCCCAGTAGGTCTCCATGTACTCAAGATGATTGTGTATGTGAAAACCTTGAAAGATTGGGGTTTCCACTAAAAAAGGAGCTTGTGACTGATTGGATCCTGTAATCGTTGTCAGAGAGCTTCAGTCAATTTGTCTTGAATTTCAACATGAATGATATGAACAAAAGTCTTTCAGAGCTGCTCAGTATGTTAAGAACTGCTAAGAAGAATCCAAAGTCAAAGGAAATCCCATTCTAATGGTCAGTAATGGAAAGAAGCAGAACAAAAGGTCCACCAAGCAGGGTGTAAAGGGAAGGGAAAGGAAATTGTCAGACCCAAACCTACTGGTCATACTTTGAAGCCCAAAGGAGGAATAGTAAAGCAGGGCACTTGCTTCTATTGCGGTATGACCGGAAACTAGAACAGAAACTGCCCAAAGTACCTAGAAGATAATAAGAATGGAGTGGAGACTTCGACTTCAGGTGTTTTTGTTATATAAATAAATTTATCTACTTCTGCCTCATGGGTATTGGATACTGGATGTGGTTCTCACATTTGTAATAATGTATAGGGGCTAAAAAGGAGTAGATATTTGGCAAAAGGTGAAGTTGACCTACGAGTTGATAATGGAGCAAAGGTTGTTGCTTTAGCTGCAGGAACTTATGTATTGACTTTACCTAGTGGTTTAGTAATTCAGTTATAGATTTGTTATTATGTACCTGCAGTTAACATGAATATTATTTTAGTTTCTTGTTTGGACAAGTTTGGTTTTTCATTCATAATAAAAAAAACAATTGTTGCTCAATTCATTTGAATGATATATTCTATGCCATTCCACAAATAACCAATGGAATATATGTACTTGATCTTGAAATGTCTATTTATAACATTAATACTAAAAGGATGAAACCTAATGAATTAAATCCAACTTACCTTTGACATTGTTGATTAGGCCACATAAATGAGAAACACATTTTCAAACTCTATAAAGATGAACTCTTAGACTCTTTTGATTATGAATCATATGAGACTTGCAGATCTTATTTAATTGAAAAGATGACAATCCCCCATTCACAGAAAAAGGTGAAAGGGCTAATGATCTTTTGGCCCTCATACATACTAATGTATGTGGACCATTGAACATACCAGCCAGAGGAGGTTTTCAATACTTCATCATATTTACTGATAATTTCAGTAGATATGGTTATGCGTATTTAATGAAACACAAATATGAACCCTTTGAAAAGTTCAATGAGTTCAAGAATGAAGTACAAACCCAACTAGGTAAGAATATTAAAACTCTTCGATCAGATCGAGACAATGAATATTTAAGCCTAGAGTTTGATGACCATCTAAAATAATGTGGGATTATATCCCAACTCACTCCTCCTGGAACACCACAATGAAATGGAGTATTTGAGAGAAGAAATTGAACCTTGTTAGACATGGTTTGTTCTATGATGAGTCACGTCGATCTTCCAAACTCCTTTTAGGGACATGCACTTCTGACAGCAGCTTACACACTTAACCGTGTTCCATCCAAAAAGGTTGAGAAGACACCATATGAGATATGGAGTGGTAAGAAACCACATATGTCTTACATGAAGATTTGGGGTTGTAAAGTTTATGTGAAACGACAAATTTCAACTAAGCTTGACTTCAAATCTGACAAATGCTTATTTGTAGGGTATCCTAAAGAAACAAGAGAGTATTACTTTTACAATCCTTCTAAGGGAAAAGTGTTTGTCGCTCGAACTGGAGTTTTCTTGGAAAAAGACTTTATTTCCAAATGAATCAGTGGGAGGAAAGTAAAGCTTGAAGAAATTCAAGAATCACAAAGCATTGATGCTCCTATGAAGGAATTAGATCGGGAATCACAACTAGTTGTGGAAGAGCAACCTGCTCAAGTAGAACAAGATCGGCGTAGGTCGAGTAGGATACGTCACCAACCACAGAGATATGGATATCTCGTAACTGATCAAGGTGATGTATTACTCATGGATCAAGATAAGTCTGTAACCTACCAAGATGTTATAACTGGTCCTGAGTATGAGAAGTGGCTAGGAGCCATGAAATTTGAAATGAATTTTATGTACACAAATCAGTTTTGGACCTTGGTAGAGCCTCCTGTAGGAGTTAATCCTATAGGATGCAAGTGGGTCTTTAAAAAGGAGACTGACATGGATGGTAAGGTACATGCCTATAAGAAAAAACTGGTTGCTAAAGGCTATAAACAAATTCATGGGGTAGACTATGATGAAACCTTTTCACCAGTTGGAATACTTAAATCTGTTCGGATTTTACTTGCTATCGCTGCATATCATGATTATGAAATATGACATATGAATGTCAAGACTGTTTTTCTTAATGGAAATCTTCTTAAGGATGTGTACATGACACAACCTGAAGGATTTGACATATCAGAAGAAGACCAAAAGATATGCAAGTTACAGCGATCAATCTATGGATTGAAGCAAGCTTTTAGAAGCTGAAATCTTTATTTTGATGAAACTGTAAAACAATATGGATTCATAAATAATGAAGATGAGCCTTGTGTCTACAAGAAGATTAGTGGGAGCATGATCGTCTTCCTGGTATTATATGTAGATGATATTTTATTCATTGGAAACGATGTTCATACCTTACAACAAGTGTATGTTCTCTATTACTTATCAAGAAACTGATTCTAAACAATTCAGTTTCCACACCGAACTACGACATTCTGGTCAATCAATGATACTTAAGGCTTTCTTCGGCTTCTTCAGTGTTCGACAATCTCTTATGGACAACTATTTTAGACCGGTCAAATGCTCGATTGACCAATGTTCAATCCATCTCAAACTCACTCTACTCAATCTAAAATATAAAAATATGCCATAAGAATGTACACAAACTCTCATCTCTTATTTTACTTTACTCATCTTAAATCTTGAACTAACTTAGACGTTAGAGTACTAACCATACATGTCCACCCCACACCGTCGTAAAGAAGATCGGAGCACCGCTCAAATTCAACAATTATCCAACTCTCATCAATTTTAATTCTTTCAAAAAAAAACTAGAATATTCATGTCTAGCTCCTGAACAAAACAATTTTGTTCTAGTGACACAGTAAATCCATTTGTGAGTAATAATAAAATGGACTAAAAAGGAAAGAAAAAAACATCAAGTGGACATAATTGATCCAATAATGTTAGAATCCTTGACAAAACAAGTGATAAGTTTCTTTGAAAGAAAAGGTTTTAGCCTTGCAAACAATTTTAAATAAATTAAAGGCTATGTTTGATGTAAATTTAAATTGGTGTAATACCAAACATGTACTAAGTAAGTGTGAAAATGAATTATATATTATTTGTCATAAAATGTTATACTCGGTTAGTTAGTGTTGGAGAGTCTTAAATTAAACTTTGATGATTGATAAATAATTTTGACACTAAATCTCATTCAAAAACATTGAGGTATTAAGGATATAGATCACATTCAAACATAAATTTCAACCATTACTATTTTAATAGCTAGTTTTTGTTTTCTTTCTTACTTGTAGATGTTCATTTTAATTAGCAATAGGAATAATTCATAGTCAATTCTCTTAGATCTTCACATAAACACTTCCATAAAAAATTCAAACAAATGTGATGCATGCACAACATGAATGATAAAAGATTGCAACTACATTTCATATGTTGGGATGCAAATTTGAATGTATAATTTCCTACTTTTCTGCACATTGGATGTATGTGGTTCTAGAGAGAATATGAGAAACATGTTGTACTCTTTCTAAGTAAATATCATCATCCCTCTCCCCATGTTAAAAACAATGCATAGAAAAAATATATTTTTAGAATTTGGGCATTTCATATTTTCCATTTGTTCAAAGAGAAGGACTTGTGATCTAACAAAGAATCTAAGGTCATAAGATATTTGATCATTCACATTTACATGTTTTTTATATATTTCTTTCTATTTTTTGAAATTGTCACAACCTGCTTAGAACCAAAAAGTAGCAGACTTGAGATGTTAAGCTTGAGAGGGAACCAACAAGTGCTGCTCACATTCTTCAAATGTCAGATCTATCTGGTGACTTAATTGTGTAAGGAAGCTGCGGACTTGAAGTATCACAAGTTTCCGTCGGTTTGCTTCCCATATCCTGAGTTTTGTGAAGGAGAAATGTTCCCGATAAAATTGTCACGAATCCACATAGCTCCGTAACAATCTGAGATGCATCTTGTGTGTCCCATTCCTGCAACCATCGATATAATCTTGTGTTTTAAGTATTTGGCCGCAAATCTCTAAATGACAAGACTATTATGAATAACTTGTGGTGGAATATTTCAATGTTACCTTAAACATGATTATGCTGGCGATTATGGTTAATGAGGTAAACATGACGTAGTAAACCGGTGATATGACAGTAGTGTTGAAGGTATCCAAAGCCTGCAATCATAGTTTCCCGAATTAAATAAGAAACATTGCACTACAACATGGTGTGTCTATGAAGCACAGAGACAGACACGTCGACACCAGTAATAATTTGGAAAAAAAATGAATATATTAAACTTAATCACAAGGGTTGGCGTCGGTGCTATAGAGGTTCATACTCCGTAATACATACCTTGTTCAAGTAGTTGATTTGCATGAGACAACATCCAACCACAATTATTGTAAAGAACCATGTCTGAAAGTAAATAAATTGATTCTTCCCTTCAAATGTAAGCTTCAAAGCTATTCCTACTGCTTTGACACTCATAACCTAGATTAGAAATGTGATCATTAATTAATTCATGATACATTTAAGCATTGAAAAGATTAGAAATGTATTCAATACCGTAATCGAGCCCGTGAGAGAGCATAATCCAACATAAACAATCATATGTGTCTGTCCATATTTTTCCGCGAAAACGAAAATAAGAACTAAAACCAGTATCACCACCAAACAAGAGTATACAATAAAACCTGTTTCATTCAAGAGGAAAAACAAAGTATCTTAGCCTTTCAAATTCATTAGCCGGAAACCATAACGCAGCCCACTTAAAAAAGTACCTGGCTCGGTAGCAAGTTGCCATACTTCCTTGACGGAATGAATGTCTCTCTCACGCGGTGCATGAAGAACAATAGTCGTAGACCCTACCACACAGAGAGCACATCCAAGCATGCCAAAAATGTGTAGTCTCTCATTCAAGATGAAGTGAGCTAGCACCGCACTGCATCGTCAATACAAGTTTACATAACTGTTTCTTGCATTGCACGAAAGCATCTATATGTTGTGAAGAAGACCGTGTTATGTTGCTTACCTGAAAATGATGCTTAAAGCTCCCAAAGGAGTTACAAGAATGGCAGGTGCAAATGCATAAGCTGCAAAATTAGCTATTTCCCCAACAATCACTGCAAAAATGGATTTGTGCATCATCAACTCAAAATCAATAGTAATAAAATGTGTGAATGTGTCTGTGTCCGTGTCCGAAACCGACACCAACGCTTCAGATTACATCTAACATATTCATTTTTTTCAACGTGTTTCTAGTGTACGCGCATAGGTGATAAACCAACACCATAAGATAGAAAAGCACTCACTTGTAATCATTCCAGCCCACCACTTTGGTTCTAACAAATATGAATGCCCTCCTGAGGCTGATCAAATCAAACCACAAGACAATATTAAAACTGCTAAAAAATAAGAAAAGTTTAACCCTTTGAAAACCCAGATGAAAATTAAACGAACCTGCTCTATTTCCATTAGAACCAGCTTTTGTAAGACCCATTTTTTTAATTATATAGCTAGAACCAATGAAAATGCTAGAAGATAGAGCCAAAACAAGCCCAATAATATTGTCAGAAGACATCCCCATGATGATGTTCCACTTTCACCACCACAATATAAAAATGATACCCAAAATAAAAAATTGTTCTTGAAGTAACGAGTCAACAATCTTTGCAGGGCCAAGATGCCAAATACAATGAATGCCTTGACCTTGAAGATGATGATCATGCATAAAATAAGGAATAATATAAACATCATAAGAAAACATCATAAAAAACATCAAAAAGGGTCAATTAACGTTAACGTAAACAAACAAAGGAAAGTTAAAAAAATGTGATTTTTATTTACCTAAAACCTTGGCACCCTGCAAAAAAACTTGAACAGCTACAAACCCATTATGACAAGAACGATAAAAATCATATTTTGGGCATGAGAAATTGAAAGTGGTGGTGTTAAGTTAGAAAGGATTTAGGTTTATGAATATTGGGGGCGTTCTCACCAAAGGGATTGAAGACAAAAAAAAGGCAACGTTAAATTCGTTACCTAAAAACAAATAGCAAAATAAAAAACCAATCTTTTTTATGTGCAAATCAAAAATATCCAACGCACCCACGTTGCATTTGTCTTCATGTGTGAGTTGGATATTTTATGTCATTTTCTATTCAACTTTCTTCTTATGAACCTTTGTGCAAACTACTACTCATTTCAATCCACTTGCTTGTTGTACTTTGTTTTGTTCAATAGAAAACTAGATAGAGATGTATGTGTGTGTGCAATCTTTTTATTCAATAGGGTTGATATATAGTGCTAACTATCTCTATCTCTAAAATAGTACAATATTTCATTGGAAAGACTAAGATTTTAAAATATGAATAAATAATTAATGTTGTTGAAAATGGAAAAAAAATTGTATAGAAGAAGTATGAAGTTTTTTAAATATGGTATTATATTTAAAAATATGCTAAAAATATTTGTATTTGAAGTTTTTTTGGTTTGACTTTAATGATATATTATATAAAATTCTAAATTTGATTCTGGAATATGTTGACCGATAATAAAATAAATAAATAATTATTTAAAAAATATTATATAATGAAATTCACATGTAAGATTTTTTTTCTTTCAAAATAGATCATAAACATTAAGGATAATATGTCTCTTTGTTTTGATTATAAAAAAAAATTATATGACCTTTTTGTGTGGGGCTTATTGAAAACTAGTTAATTCTAGTTAGCATTTTAGATAACTTTCCGTTAGTGTGTGATATATTGTTAGTGAGGAGAGAAAGAGAGAATAAAGAATAATGATTGTTATTATTGAATGTAATTTAAATCAAATTATAATTTGTGTATATATATACACAATTAAGTAACTTGAGTACTAAGTAACTAACATAACAAACCTTAATCCCAATTAACTTGGACTTGGGTTACACAACTTGATTTATACTCTCGACATGCCCCTTTATAATCCAAGTTACTAAGCACTACCTAATCATAATCAATCTAAAGTATTCCTAATTTATTTCTCAAAGTTAGGAATTTGTCGATCTCCAATTCTTTGGTGAAAATGTCATCCAACTATGTTTCACTCGAGCAATGTCTCATTTCAAGTTCACCCTATCGCAACTGCGAAAAAAACAACCGGCGAAAAAACAGAAGAGTCGCCACCGAACGTTATTTATCCTGACGCAGGGAAAGGAAACGATAGAAGAAAATTAAAACAAAGGAGAAGACAATGTCATAGCAACCAAATCTTGGGTTCGGTAGTCGGTTACGCAAGGGGAAGGTATTAGCACCCCTCACGTCCGTTGTACTCAACGTGATCCACGCTTGTTGTCTTATCAAATGGTGAGTTATCTAAAAGCTACTGCTAAACAGAAACGGGAAAGGAAAAAGAAAAGGAGACTCAATAGGATATCGTCGCCCTATGCATACGTATTCCCTCGTGCAATGGGAAAGTCAGAGTCAACGTAGTTCAGAAAACTACGGGTGATGGGGGGAGGTTGCTCACCAAGACACCGTCGTCTTGTGCCTACGTATCCTCATCTGGTATGAGAAATCAGAGCAAACATAGTTCAGGATAACTACAGATAAAAAGGGAAAAGGGTGCTCGCCAAGACTTTGTCGTCTTGTGCCTACGTATTCTCATCTGGTATAAGAAATCAGAGCAAACGTAGTTCAAAAACTATGGATAAAAAGGGGGAAATGATGCTCGCCAAGACATCGTCGTCTTATGCCTACGTATTCTCATCTGGTATGAGAAATTAGAGCAAACGTAGTTCGGGAAACTAAACCACAGGTTGGTTAAGTGTTTTTTTATGAGCAGCGTTAAGTTCTCATTCCAGCTGTTAGGATTGATGGATGTTTGCGATAGAATGGAAAAGCAACATGCTCTTTTCTGAAAATGAGTTTGAAAGAACAATCCCGAAGGATAAAAATGTTTGAATTTTGTTCATGAGTTTTAGTGAAATGAATTGATTGGTTTGAGATTCACATTGCAATAAAGACTATGATATAGGAACGAATGTGTCACATATCGCCCCCAGACGGGACGTACACTAAACACTCTAGACAATTAAGGAGAAACCCCTCACTCATAATTCCCCATATGCATAAGACTTGTGGCGCACAACATTCATCGTCTTTATTAAGTGTGTTAGAATTGTTTTGAGATGAGAAGAGAAAGGACTCAAAGGTTGAAAAGAAAACAACTAAGGGAGACTTGGGTCCTAATGTTGTCATGCATAATGGTCCTAAGATTGAGATAAAAGGGAAGTCATACCTAATGTTATCATACAAATGATGGACCTAAAGTTGAGGTCAAAGAGGGACTATTCTAATTACTATCATGCAAAGGATTGAAAGCCTAATGTCTCTCCTACTCCCAACTTAATCATAAATTAAGTGGAACTAGGAATCCTAAGGGATCACGTGAACAAGCACAAGTAAACACCATACTAATCAATCACAAATGAAAACAAAGTAAAGACTTAAACAAGTCTTAAGAAAAGAAAGAGAAATAAGAATAAAAGATGAAGAAGAAGATGCAACACTATGAACAAACATGAAAGTTCAAACTCAACAGGCATCAAGCAAACATTAATCTCAATTACACAATGTAAACATCAACATCATGTCAAAGTGACAAGAATGTGTTCACATGTCAAACCATACTCAAAGATTGGAAGTCAAAACAAATTGGCAAAACTGATAGGCCTAAAAATGTACTATATATTTGACTCGATTTGCACATGTTATTTAGGATTTTATTTATGTTTTCTTGTATTATGCCTTTGTTTTATTCCTTTTTCAAAATTTTGTATTTTTAGAGCTACTTGAGAAGAAATGAAGAAAAACGAGCAAAAAGACCAGCTTTTTAGGAATTGTACACATGGCTTCCACCATGGCGGGCGCCATAGGGGATGCCACACATTGGACAAGTGACCAACTACTGAAAACTGCCACGTCTCCCACAAATTTCCACCCTAGTTCATATGGCGGGCGCCATAGGGAGGTGGCGGGCGCCACCTTTGCAATCTCATTTCCCTCCCAAAAGAAGTTAGAGGGTATTCTCGTCCTTACCTGTACTTTCCTACCACTATAAATAGAGGAGTTCTGTCTCATTTTCAATCATCCAAGCTTAGTTACAGAACTCAAGCCATAAATTTAAACTATTGTAAAGTGATAAACTTCTCACATCGAGGGGTTATCGCATTGTCTAATCGAGTCTGTAATCGGGTTTGGAGCACTTTGGTAGAAGTTAATCCTGCCGCCATTTTATATTCGTCATTTACTTTAAGTTGTACCAAGATTTAAAGCCTCCCGTTTGGAGCAGATTTCTGTTTATTTATTACCCTTTTATTTATCCACTTTTATTTTCCGTACTATTTATTTATCACACTATTTATTTATCGCACCCTTTATCGCATTTTATTTATTTCCTCGCACTTTATTTACTTGCATTTATTTACCATGTCTATTTACTTTACCATGTCCGGCTAAATCTTAAAGGCTAGGATGCGACGGTCATAGTTAAAATAGTATTCCATACGGCTGTCGATAGAATTACTTAGGGGTTATTCTGACTTTTAACACTTATTTTCTGCACTTAAAATCTGTTGGGTAAGATCGAAAGTCGTCCAACCTTTAGATAAATTTGGTTAGTCTTAACTGCTTAAAGGAAGCGAAAGCGCTTGGTCCAGTTAAGTAGGAATATTTAATGTTTTAGAAAACTGATTTTGAAACTGTTTTCGGACGCGTTTATGGATTTAATGTCTGGTTCACAAGAACCTCTTTTTGTTAGAAATTCCAGGTCAAAATACTTTTCAACTATGTTAAGAAACTATATTTCTTAAAAATAGGCTTAATCACTCTAACGCAATGCGCGCCTTTTTATAAGTGACAATAAGAGGGATCGATTAGGGGATAAACTCGGTTCTAAATACGCAAAAGCGACAGTTCCCGTTAAATTAGTTCTTTTCACGAGTAGAAAACATTACCCCATAAGGCATCCTATTTATACGCATTTGGAATACTACCTGACTATGTGAATTACATCTAAGCCTGTTGTTTTAATATTGAATTTATTTTCGCACTTTACTTTTATTTCGCACAACTTAACCCTTTATTGACTTGCCTTAGATAAACACCGTAACAATAGCAACCGATAGATTGACGTTTGGTCTCTGTGGGATCGATAATCTTTTATATTACTTTGACGTTATTCGTGCACTTGCGAAACACAACAACAAAAATAAGGTGCCAAACACACACACAAATGACGTAAAGTCCAATAAGCAGTATTATCAATCATCGAGCAAATTAGAATGAACTCAACTGGGATGAGAAATAAGGTAGGGCAGTAGCCACATTATATCATTCTCAACTCAATTCAAATATTATAAAAGGAACACAAGAGTGTCAAGCATGCATCTCATAAATGCTCAAACAAATAACAACAACTAGCTCATGCAAAACACACTTCAAATGATCGAACATGTGAGATTAAGGTATGCAACCAAATGACAGAAGCAACATCATCATGAACATTAACTTAAACATCCACTCATGAATACACAAGAGAATT